TAATATTCTTATTTCTTCGCGGTAATCTTCACGGTTACGTGGGGTGTCCAATATCTTAATTAGACCTGAAAATTTAGGATGTCAAACTATTTTTTTTAAGGCTGCTTGACCGATTTTCCCAAAACCAATATTTTCGTGCCGGTCCTTTTTTTCGCCTAGACCAAAAACCGAGTCGTTGATGTGGATAATTCACAATTTTTCTAAACCGATGGTTTTTTTAAACTCCGTAATTGTCTCCTCTAAGTTGTTCTTAATATCATAACCGGCCGCGTAGAGATGACAAGTATCTCAACAAACACCAATTTTTTCGGGCTGATTAACTTGGGCGATTATAGTTTGTAATTGGACGAAAGTGCCTCCTATTTCTCCTTTTCTGCGGGACATTGTTTCTAAGGCGATACGAATACCAGAACTCTCATCAAGCACTAAATTAATACCCTGAACTAGACTCGATAAGGCTTCCTCCGGCCGAGCATTCAAAGCATTACCAGGATGAAGAACCAGAGTTTTTAAGCCAATTTCGGCCATCCGGGCCATTTCTTTCTTTAAAAACGCCACGGAAAAGTCAAATACTTCTTTATTAATCGTATTAGCCAGATTTAACAAATAAGGGGCATGAACCACTACATTATTGATATCAATATTATTCGCCCGCAGAGCCGCACGAAATTCCGGAATTTTCAATTTACTTAATGGATTTCGCCAACTATTTTGCGGAGCACCTAAATAAATCATGAGAGCATTAGCCCCATAACTTACTGCTTCCTGAACTGCCCCGAGCAAAAAATCTGGCGACCGCATTGAGCAATGGCGTCCAATTATAAGTTGATACTTTTTTGCGGATGACATTTTCTTTACTTTTTATCCCTCTATCTGTTTTTGTTCCTCTTCTTTCGTCATTAATTTTATAAAACGGGCAAATTCCTTGTCAACTTTTCCTAGGAAAAATGCCTTTTGGCTATCAACTTGTTCTTTGCCTTTTTTACAGAACTTGTCTTGCCATCCGTATCCAAAGTCCTCAATCTCTTGCATGGTTTTTGTGCCCTTTAAGTCAACCCAAGTGTTGCCAGGTTTTTTCATGTATTCCTGCTGGGCACATTCTGCTTTTTTTGCTTTTCAATAATCATGGATTTCGATGACCGCATCAATTTGGTCGGATAATATTTGGTCGCGGGAAATTTGCTCTCTTAATTTTCCTAGTAATATTTCTAGTCTAACTTTTTCCTCGGCCATTCAAGAAAAATTAATTTCATCTTTTAGTAATTCTTCTCACTTTTTCTCCAATTTTCTCATTTTGGGAATTTTTTCCAGTCGGAGTTTATTTTCGGCTGTTCCTTCCCGAATAACTTTTCCCAATTTTTCGTCCAGTCGATGCAATTCGTCAATAAGAACGTTGGTTTCAACTTGATACAGTGATATGGCATTGTCAAGTTCACATTCCGTAGAAATAAAAAAACCTTCTCTGTTTTTTTCCGCTTCATCTTTGACACTGTCTTTTAGGTCGTTAATTTTTCGCAGCAAATCGGCTCACTGAGCCAAAAAAAGAAGATTTTTGGCAGTTTCGGGGTGGCTTTTTAGGAATGAATTTATAACCTCCCAGGCTCTTTTTCCTTCTCCATACGCAGATTGCTCGGCTAGTTCTTTTTGCAAAGTTTGAACTTCGTTTGCCACTTTTTCTAAGGAAAGAAAAGCAGAGGGTTTTTCTGTCTTTGCCTCTAACAAATCGGCTT